GTATCCAATTATGTTAATTAAAAATATTTATGTCAAAATTATCCAACTAATTTCATGGATTGGCAATTAGTTTTGACTGTGTAATTTTATATGACTTACTTGATAAAAAATACGGCACGGTATCTTGGGGGATTTGAGAAAACACTTCGAAATTTGCTTCGAATATTAATTTTTTTTTTATTTTTTTTCTGAGACTAACGGTTATCCTTGGATTTTTTTTCCTTAAATGTGCTACTAGTTATCTGAATCTCTCATTTAAAAGTCCTTATTTGGTCCATTCATAGATGCTTACAAGAATTTTACTGAATTAACTTTTTTTAAAAACGGTGATCTTGACTGGTTATAAAACCTGCATACGTCGTAGTTTAAAATATGTATGCCTCGGCCTAAAAACCTGTTGATATCATCTATGCGCAGCGAGGCGCTGTGAGGAATCATAGTTTTGCGATGGCCCCCTAAATACGTGACACTTCTATGGAAGAGAGCACGCGTTGTATTTAGTCTTGTTTACTGAAATTAAAATGACAACATTCAACGCTCATCTGAGAGAATTTAACACGGCTATTGATTTTCATATCGATTTATTGAGCTGTCATATCAAGGTATTGATTGCTAGGTCTAATCTATGTGTCGGCTAGTTTTTTTTTAAAAAAGATTTAAAGTGTTTGTGTATTTACCTTAAACTACTAAGTACTTTTACTCTCTTCCAACCCCCTCCCCCTCCCTCACCGCTCCCACCAACCTTCCCCGCCCGTTAATGTTGTTTTGTGTATAACATGTTAGAGTAGGTCATGTAGTGAGGCCTGATATTACTGGTGTAGATAGATGGATAGACAGAAAGATACATACATACATACATACATACATACATACATACATACATACATACATACATACATACATACATACATACATACATACATACATACATACATACATACATACATACATACATACATACATACATACATACATACATACATACATACATACATACATTCATACATTCATACATACATACATACATACATACATACATACATAGCATTTAGTTTTTTATTATGGATGGATTGATTGATAAATAGGTAGGTGGATAAATGGATAGATGAATGGACATTAAAAATCGTTATTTATTGAATTGTCACAAGGTTTATTTTCTCGTATTAATTTTTTTAAAAGTTCTAAATTAGAAGTCAAATCAAGCCCAATGTGCTACGATGCTTGGCAGAGACCTTAGTCTAACATAAAAACAGTAGTATGAGCCGTACATAATCTCATTAAAATATTAATTACTGATTGCCTTTGTTAAAGGTTTCATTTAAACCACTTTTGACCTAATATGATCCCGTATCAAGTGTTTTTAAGAAAAACATCATTTCCGGTCGCTGTTTATTTAGACTTGAGACAAAAAAGCACTGTTGATTAGCTATTGGCTCAGCAGGACTATAGAATAAGCGGTCACAATGACCTGGCCTCAGCATTTGAATGGCCAGGGTTCCTAGACGTTTCTGGTCAAACAATGGCTTATTGATCCACACAAGTCGGTCAAATCCTCGACAAGATGCAGGCTTAATCTCCTTAAGCTAATCCTAAGCTCATGTTAACATCATAAGCAATCATTTTATGAGCCAATGGGGAAAGGGTTGTGTCGAAGGATTCGTTTTAAAAAATATTCTGTTCGATTGTTTAGTTATGAATTATTAAAAGCCTGTGTGGTGAGGGACAAATGATTTTGTCTGGGATATTTTGTCTGCGAGAAATTTTAGTATTAAAAACTAGTTTACCAAGATTCCTTGATCAATAATTCTAGAAAAATCAACATTTAATAATGAGCATGCAGACTGTACAATTCATTTTATTTGTATTGCGCCCGTGCGCGGAGAAAGCAGCCATTTTAGACATACGAAATTTGTCACTAAGTCTCCAAACGTGTCAATCAAAGACGTTTAAAATCTCAATGTTTGTGTGTTGTGTTAGCCGATGTTCAAGTGCTTTTCATGTCCAAGTCAAGACAGCAGAGAAGGGGCGGTTCTGACATTTCTGCCAATAAAGCTAATCGTTTTTGTGTGGCATTTTATCAGACTTCTTTTTTTTTTATTTGATCATACATTTTAAATGAGATGTTTTTGTTTAAATTAGCGTGGGTTTACATTTATTTTACTCATCTATTAATTATAATAATACTCGCCACTTTAAATGATCAAACGGAGTTTCCTTTTTTTAAATACTAATTTCTCTAAATGTCGAAGAGATGTAAATGTAAATCATAAACAGACAAATAAGATTAAAAAAATAAAAAGCTAAAATGTTGATGGATGAACAAAAAATTGTATTACAAAATCGTCATTTAGCATGTAGGAAACCGTTAAGGTGTTATTGTAGTTAAGTAAGCTAGTCTTTAGTATACATTTTCTTGTCACTCTAATTTGATGTATATAAATCTTTACCCCGACATTAATGAACTAGCAATACTCCCCCCTTCCCCAAACTCTTAACCTGTATTCCGCAAAATAGCCGTACCAATATTTCATTCTCTATTTAGAGCGGATATTCTACAATGATGTTTTAAAAGTTAATAAAAAGTGTATCAAATATAAGACCAGGGGTGCCACTTTTCCGGGATATCCCGGATTTCCGGATTCGAGAATCATATTTTTTTCCCTTTCCGGATTCGCAAGATTTGAGTTTGAAAATTTCCGGGTTTGCAGTTTAAAAAAAAATTTAGATCGTTTTAAGCTTGAAAATGTTGGCATTGTAAAAATTGTTTTTATCATCAACACTCCCGCCAATAGCCTTTGCCGAAAAAAAATGAATAGTAAATGACGTCAGCAACAATCTCACGCGTGCGCCAAGAACCAAATACAAATCGGCTGTATCAGATGGGTGAGACTGTAGACGAAACTTTTTGATGTCATTCGTGGTGTGGCTGTCTGGCTATTTTTTATGACGATATGGGTTGGGGGTAAAACTCGTATTATTTACGTGATGTCATCAATGGGATACCGCTAGGCTGTGTAATAAAACAACTAAATTCTACAATTACTAGATCTAGCTCACTAGCATCGCCGATCGTCTTTTAAAAAAAACAAAGATTTTGCTCCGATAAAAAAAATATTTTTTTTTTGTATTTGGTATTACAAAAAGAAAAGAAAAAATCTATTTGGAGGACTATTTTATGTATGAAATAGAACTGTGCTGTTTTCACTCAACTTAACCGTCACTTTTTACCACCACGTACCCGCTTCTTCAAGGTCGCGCTGACCGTAAGACCTACGTCACGAGACCACGCAAGCACAGTCTGAGTCGTGTCTCTCGGTCAAGGCAGTTCTACAATTACAAGCGCTGTTTAATTTTAACGTGGTTATTTTTAATTCAAGAAAAAAAATTAGATCTGCATCGTTTTATATCAGTAAAAAAAATATGTAGGCCTGCTATAATTTAGTTACACGATCTAGCAGGGTCTACATCTAATTTTTTTTTTTTTTTACTTTGGTAAAACGTCATTGAAATGTTTAAAAAACCTCGAAGTACCGTGTCTCAGAAAATAGCCGCTATCACTGCCCCCTCCCAACCGCTTGTAAAAAAAAAATCAGCTTTTCACTTAGTCGGGCGGCTACATCTCTGACATGAGTATTACTAGCGTAGTTACTTCTAAAATTATTTTTAAAATTAACTTAATTCTGTTATTCCGCGATATGGACTTAAAACTTCCACGATATTTCTTCACGTCATCATGTATATCAAAAGTGGGGGCATTGGGGTCGTTCATAAATGACGTCACACTCGTAGGGGGAGGGGGGTCCGTAATTTTGTCATGAGGGGGAGGGGTTCAGATGGTGTGACATCACACTTTTGCATTATCGAAAAGCTATGTTAGAAAACTAATTTTAGCCGTTATTTCGCGTTTTAGAATATTGTTTCAATAAAGTGTAATAGGCATTGATTAAAATACTCTATGTTGACAGAGGTCAGACAAGATTTTTGGAAAAATAGCCTATTTTAAGAAAAATTCTACTGCAATTTTTAGGGGGGGGGTGTATGTTGAGGTGTGACGTCATTTTAGAGGGCGGGGTCTGGCTTTTTGTGACGATATGTGACCGAGGTGAGGTGGGAGGTAAAAATCGTCAAAAAAGCGTGACATCATTTATGGATGACCCCATTCGTATTGATTGGGAAAACAGGGTTTAAGGTTTTTGTTGTGGCTGTTAATAATTAAAGCCTTGAATAGCTACAGTAAGTCAACCCTGTATTTTAATACAGTGGCAATCTTATTAGAGGTCTGCATATAGTGGGCTTATTATTCAATAACAAGACATAGAGGTTAGCAAAATATTTGTTACTTAACAGTTGGCTGACTACACACTTTAACTCAAGCTAGGAAGTTCTAAAAAATTAAATAGTTATGTTATAAAAGCTGGCTGGGGGGGGGGGGGAGTTCTACAATAGCACATTATGGGGTAGGCCTAGATATGGGACTAACATTGTAAACTAATTTTGTTGTAAGCACAATCCTTTAAAGATTAATTATTATTATTTGAAGCTTGTTACAAAGAAAATAAATCCATTTTAAAGACATGTAAATTGAACATAATAATATATGAATCAAATGTCTCAAAAAATAATGAAATAACAGTCCATTTTATTTTGAAATTCCGCGCGGAATTAAGTTTCAGGGTTTCAAAAATTTCAAATTTTAGTTTCAGGATTGGTAAAATTTTGGGATTCATTTTCAGGATTCACTTAAAAAATGAGTGGCACCCCTGATTATAAGAGTTGTAAGAAAAACTTAACAGATAAAATACCAAAATATCACGTTTCGGAACTTCCTCTGAAATTTTATGTTTAAAATTTTACAAATTACAAAAATAAACATGTCATATGTGCAGTAATAAATGAAACTCGTAAAATTTAAACTCGATTGACACGAGTACATTTTATAGCGGCGCTGGAGTCCATTAATGCCACTTGTATTTCAACTCTTTCATTTCCTCCACCTCCAGGTCTGTCGTCGATATGGAACTCTCTAGGTCGTCTCAGGGCAGAGGTGAGTGGCAAAGTTTTTTTTTACGTTCGCTTGTCTACATTCATGGCCTCGTCATCCCCTTGTTAGATGAACTTAAGTGCCCTTGTCCTCTTGTGTTGGGTTGGTTGTTGACTGCCAGTCAGTTCATGAGCGTCACAGTTTCAGGGCTTGTGAACTTAAGTCCTGCCGTACGTTGTTTCGTTTCCTGAAGGTCTCTGTGTCATTTTATGAAGGTCTTTATGTCAGCTGCTGAGAGGTCTTAACGTCAATTGCGGAGTCTTTGTCATTTATTCGTGTACTTTATTCTATTTACTGAAGGCCCTTATCATTTGCTGAGGGTCTTTTTCATTTACTCAAAGTCTTTATGCCATTTACTCAAGATCTTTATGTCATTTACTCAAGGTCTTTGTCATTTAATCAATGTCTTTGTTATTTACCTAAGGTCTTTATGACATTTACTGAAGCTTTTTGACATTTACTCAAGCCCTTGATATCATCCAAGTACTGTTAGTAGCACACCCAATTCTGATCTACTACACGTCTATATGTTCGTTACATTAGAGATGAGTTGCTGACTGTTCCCTTCTGTTAGTCTATCACTCTGGTTTCATTTCCTTCCGTTTTCTGACCTGCCTTTAACATACCTTTCCCTGATGTGTGCAGAGTTCTTTACTGTTGTCAATCTAATACTAGGGTCTCCAGTATTTTATCTTTAGCTGGTCTCTCTGTGATACGTCACTGTCCTAGTTCTCCCTTGAAACATCTTCTATCTGCCATGCAAGGATTTTAACATTCGGCTCACAGCTTCATTGTGATGCAATTTTAAGGGTATTAATTATCTTAGGTTGAGAGAAAGGGGAATCAATAAAAAGAAAATGTAAAAACTTCCTCCCATATACAAACACGTACTTAACCTTTGTGCTTTCATTGCTGTTTTTACTGTTGTGCTTTTATAGATAAAATAAATTTATTTTTATAGCTTTTATCTGCTGTTTTATTTTCTATTAATTTGTTTTTTCTTGTCTCGCAGCTTCGCAGGATGGAGCATCGCCTTGACAGCGCCGGTGAAGCTGGTCTTTCAAGCGGCAGCAGCGGCGGCTCCATCAGCACCAACCTGTTCCCGTCACAGTTCCACTCCCACCGCCTGGGTGCCCCGGCTGGTGCCGTTAGCATGCCTGGCATCTCGGTGCCGTATGAGCAGGTAGGTCACCGTAGAAGAGCTTTAACTCAGAGCAATTAGTGTGTGTTGTGCGTTGATCATCTCTCCTATCTCTGACCTTTTAAAATCTTTTATTCGATGATAATATAGATTTGTATGTTCATAAACTTTGTTGAGTGGGAAAAATTAACGCTAAGATCTGTTCCTTTTATATTGTTATAAAGAAATTAAGTTTGTTTTCATATTTGCTATGGGTGTAAGAAATTGTACTAAAGATTATTTACCTGATGTGTTGGTTTGTGTAATACAAAGAAATGTTATGTGAATCAATCTTTTCCTAGCTGTGTTGGGTGCGACAAACGCCATTGACTTTTGACTTGACTTCGTCCTCTTTTCTCCTTCCACCATACCTCTTCCATTTCATCGGGTTCCCGGCTGTTAATTTTGCCATCTCCCAAGACATCCCTGCTGTCTTCAGTTCTTCAAGAAGACTCCGCCTCCAGATCTACAAACGCCATCGGACATTGTAAATAGTGTATTACTTTACGTAACACCTACAGTAAATGTGAATCCATGTTTGTTTTTTTTTGTGTTTGGTGTGACAAATGCAATGAAACATTGTTACCGGTGTATTGCTTTTGTGTAACACCTTAAAGAAATGTGTATCCATATTTTCTGGGAAAGTCTAGCGTGCGTCTTCCCTTCTCCTAATCCTCATACTGTGACTCGTTTCGAGTAAATCATGGCGGTTTTTCATTTCTTCTGTCGTGATCGATTCGGCAATCGATAATTTTTTAACTGTATATCAAATATCAAGTATACAGGCTTATCTGTTGTTGCTACCAAGTTTAATATCAATTTCGTGTTGTATCCATTATGAGAAAAGGCATTCCCGTCTGAATACCAACAATCTGTTTTATCCCAGCCCTAAGCCTTTGTCAGCGTGAAATATTTCAAATTTTAAGTAGTACTTATACATAGTTTAGTCCAATCTTGATTAAACACTAGGTCGTGATTATTTGTGAACTGAGCGGATACAATATATAGTAACTTCAGCCTATTACTGTTTGTACGGGTTGATTTTGGTGCAAACTTGATAGGTAAATCTGTGCTGCTAGGTAGGGGGGGGGGGGGAGAAACTTTTTTTTCTATGAATGTGCTTGTTCTCCTGCGTCGATTGTACTGAAATGGGACGGTTTAAAAATCTGGTTAGAGACACACACTACAGTGTTGATAGCTAGTCTTGATTCTATGTTTGTCAAGGTCTTTCGATGGGTACAGCTGGATGAAACGTATCAAGGGAGCCCCCTGTAACTATTCTGCTTAATACTTAAGGACTATATTTTATATTTTGCATTTTGAGGTCCGGGTTAATCCTGCTTGAGGCCCCTGGCTGAAACTTGGGGGGGGGGGGGCTGTGACAAATATCTCAAGGACTAAGTACATTGTGTTGTACTGTATTCAAGCATCCGTGGCTGTGGACATACCAGTCTATGCCTGAATCAACCACTCACGTCCTTGCTTGCTGACCATAATGCAACATCTTACACGAAATTCTCATACCTGTGATAGTCTCCAATTAGTACCTTGTTGGTTTTTGTACCGTTTGCAAATGAAACCCAATCTCATAGCATGCTTATAGTATTATTCATGTAATCCTTGAAAGCGACGGCATGTGGCGCAAAACTCAGCCAGGCGTACCTTACACGACTCTGCAGGAATTTAATATTAAAAACAGGTGCGGCATTCGACGATAATGTTTTAAAAGAAGTATCGACCTGCTAAAGCTGATTTCTAATTATCGATTTGGCAAGTGGCTTGAGAGCTTAACTGAACGCTTGAAAAGTTTCGCTGTGTATAAAAAATAAATCCAGATATCGAAACGAAATTGAATTTACAAATTTAAAAATGTGCGTTGCTTACATTATAAAGCGGATTTCCCTGTAAGTTAGTTTAGATTATATTATTTGTGCTTATTCGTTTATAGCGCCATATTTATGTTATCGTTGGAAATGGGTGGTTTTAAGGGTCAGGGGAGGGGAACAGAGAGCTCATACTTGATCGCACGTCTAATCAGCGCACGTAACCCTAATCATAGTTAATCCGGCTTAGCGTTTGTAAACCCGGACCTTACCATATACCCCAGTGGGAAACTTCACCTAAAGTAGTGTCACTTTGAAGATGTTATGCTTAACTGTAAAAAATCTCAAGGCTGAAGAAATATATAATGTTAACTTTAACACTGTCAAAAATTTCCTAAAGGCTAACGTTTCTGTGAAGATATTATGCTGTTAGGCTTAACACTGTCAAATCTGCATGAAACTGTCTCGTTACGCGTGGCGGAATAATTGCTATTTCAGCACACTGAAGTGTTAGGATAAAGCTAGTTTTATGTTACTTTTGCCGACCAAGCAGACTAACGATAGCAGCGGTAATAGTAAGTTTGCTTGCAAATAAACCACCAATTATGTTTGAGCCTGTTATTTCAAGGGGAGAGTATACGCTATTACCTTAAATGGTGTTTTCCGAACATACCCGCAGGTCATTTACCTGTCATTGTAAGGCAGATTTTAATAGTTAGTTTTATTCTATTACAGAATATATATTTAACGTCATAAAACACGAATTCTTGAAATACATTGTGTAGTCAGTGGCTTGGGCAGGAATTGGTCATGTAGAGGGGGGGGGGTGTCAAAATGTGTTTATATATACACCTTACATCCCCTCCCATGTGTGTAGTATGCTTTATTTTTGTTAGCTCTTACCGTCCCCCTTTTTGTATTTATAAAAGTTGTTGATTGCTAGATCATTTTTCTTCCTGTTCTGTATCTGACCAACACAAACTCATTGGACTTTGCATTTCTAGTTTTCATTCAACTTACCCACGTGATACAAGTACACATAAAAGAAAACTCTCGGGTGTCTACTCTAGCAATTAATCTGAACGCTGGAGCTGTTATGACAGTTAATATAAGACATGGCTGGGGAAAGTTCGACCTTCCCCCATTGTGACAACCGCTATCTGATAGTCTCTGGGAGACACGCTAGCTGATCGATATTCGAAACTGGCACCAACTTCGATACGGGCGGAATTGTTTGTACATTTAATACCTTTAGCCAAATCTTGATTCCTCCCACTTCCCCCCTTCAGTCTTTTAGAAGTGTGGCTGTTCGTTTTTAGGTTCCCACCTTTCGAATAGCCGAGGGTTTTTTGTTTGTCTCTTTTTTAAATAGGATACCCGACGTTACAGATCAGCTAGTGCAGTGGGCTCTCTCGTTATACATACAAAAATGCTAAAATGTGCATTAAGAGATGTCATGCTTTAGTTTGTCGTTGATGCATTCGGCGCACGATTTGGGATTATGTCTTTAGATAATTTTTTATAATTTAATAACTAATGTATTGGGTTGTTTTGTTTTTTATTTTATTTTATTTTTAGAATGCGTGTGTAAAATAATGTGCATTTGGCTATAAACACGTGAATACTTGAATAAGTGTGAACGTTAAGACTATTTATTTTTCCTCGGTGTTCTTTTGCGTAAATATAATGTATTTTTTCTATCGCGTGGGTTGTATTGAATGTCCAGCTTAGTGTGAGCTAGTTTTGTGTTACATAGTTAAACTGATTGCTTTTACTAAGGTACTATCACAATTTTAATTGTAGACCAAAACACGATTTCTAGTTCTCTGTTTATCAGATAAGAAACAATTATGAATGATTGGTTTACATTTTTATAGCCTTCCTATTTCACCCAAGAAGTATATACCTACATGTAAGGTCAAAGTTCAAGATAGGGCTTGTACTTTTACCATAATACCCCAATTTGTGTCAGTAGCACACAGCTTATTGCTTGACTTGCATGCACCGGTTGGTTGAGTTTTTGAACAACCACTCGCTTGTTTGTGGAGGTCGTTGCTTGTTACAATTCCAGTCTATTTCGGTCAACGTTCCTTGCTTCTGATCTCTGGGTATTGGGTTTATGTTCAGATAACTCGCGCTTGATTTCAAGCTATCTGTAAAAACAATATCAAGGTGCTCCCACACTTAATGGTTGTATAATCTTTAAATTAAATTTTGCAGTTATCTCCCATCTTGACTTGCTAATTATGTATTTACTTTTGTGGTTTCTGTCGTGTTAGAACCGCTAGCTATTTTTTATGGTGGTAGTGGAATGTACCTAAGCCTATCATATCAAGGGGAGCTAACAAGTGTCAGATCAAATTTTTATTTAAAGTTTGTGTGGCAGTATTATTGGTACTGGAATTATATTTAAAATACATACATTGCAATTTATTTATTTTTAAAAACTATTCGACAAACTAAGCAGATGCATAACCTTTGTACAGGCGGCATGAAATTTTAGATGCTGTTTGATGAACCCTAATCTGTCATCGGGAAAAAAATCATTTTAAATGCTTGGCTTCTTACAGTAACGTTTGTCCATAGAGTTTCAATGGCCAATGCTTTTTTCAGATGGCGGCATTATATAAGTATTATTTTAACTCACTTATCTCATAATTACAAAAAGGTTAACCATTTAGCCTCAGAATAAACTTATTTTCAATCTGTATTTGGTGACGGCGTGGTGGGGGTTGTAGAGCACACAATTGGTAACCCAAGGTCCAGAGTTCCCTGACTCTAGTAGATGAGGCTCGTTAACTGGGGACAACTGTTGCTCAGTATAAATTCCGTATCAACGTGTTATATGGCACATGACATGTTGTTAGTATTAATACGCAATACTTAATTATGTTTGAAAAATATTACCTCCATTAATTAAAAAATAAAAACAAAGAGAAAAAACTATTTGATCTTTCGTTTTACTTTTTATGGAAAACAAAAGCGTTTATTGACTGCCTCGAATAACTAATCTGCCAATCCCTAGGCTATTGTAGCTACTGTTTTATTCCCTCCACACCCCCTACCGTCCGCTGTTCCAGCAGATCCAGGAGCTATTGGCATAGCCTGTCTTTGAGTTGGACGTCAACGCCTTACCTGTTTACCTGTACGCCGCCACTCTCACTGCCTAGCTTGAGTTGT